AGGTGTTTGGTGAGCACTGACAAAAACTTTATCAATTTCAAAATGGCCACCTAGTATCATTCAGCAGTGAAACTAAAACATATAATTCTTATACTAACATATCCTTCTTCTCACTTATTACACAAAAGCTTGGATCTATAAAAACAAACTTTGCAGAATGTGTGCAACAAGCAGATAGGATTGTAAAATTGAAGCAGATAATAGATTCAGTTTATCAAAAACAAAAACCAGCAGTGTTGTGTGCTTGTGCAACATAACTGTTCCACAACAAAATTAAGTTCTAAAAGGAAAATGTGATTCATCGTTTATTATATCTTCCAAAACTGTGCCTGTATAAGGGCTACAACTAACAATTATTTTGATAAACGATTAATCCGTTAAAATATTTTTTTTATTGATTGATCGAATAAAAGACAAAAGCTAAATCTAACCTTTCCAGCAGTTAAATCTAACCTTTCCAGCAGTTAAATCAAAAACAATGCCGTTTTTGTATGTATTACAGACATCTGCAACTTATTTAGAGTTAGTAAAGTAGAAAAAGTCCTCCAGAGAAATTTTGAATGTGTGCCTAGTGCTTGCTGCTGCTTCGAGACATTGTTTCAGTTTGAGAGAGACACAGAAAAACAGAGAGAGGGAGAGAGACACAGAGTAACACAGAGAGAGAGAGACAGAGAGACAAACAGAGAGAGAAAGAGTTTATTTGAAAACCCAGCCTCCTGTTGGGTTTCTTTTAACATCCTGTTACCATCTGGGGGGGGTTATTTTGAAAATCCAGTCTCCTTTCAGTTATCCATGTAACATCCTGTATTTACCTGGGGGGTTTTATTCTGAAAATCCAGCCTCCTTTGGGGTTTCCTGGTAACATCCTGTAACTATCTAGGGGGGGTTATTTTGAAAATCCAGCTTCTATTAGAGAGAGGACTCAGAATGTTTCTATTTAGAAGCAGCAGTAAAAAGCAAAAAAAATGTCTTGCCCTAACTTGGTCTTGAACCAACAACCACTGATTTACTGCTCAAGAGTTTCAACCGACTTAACTAAATCAGAATATTGGTTTTTCATGATGTTTGAGAAAAAGGTTTGACGAAAGTTTTAGCAAAGTCAAGCACACTATTCAACGCAATTCAGCATGTTTTGATATAACTCTTGTGTATGTGCAACAAAAACTGGGGGGAGTAGCGGTACAACATTTTTTATGGAATTAGACAGAATAACTATAAGATTCCTCCCGAGAAATTTTGAATGTGAGCCTAGTGCTTGCTCCCGCTTCGAGATAAAGTCTTTCCATTTGAGAGATAAACTTAAGAGAGAGACAGACACAGAGAGACCAAAAGTGAGACACACACACACACACAGAGAGAGAGAGAGAGAGAGAGAGAGAGAGAGAGAGAGAGCGCAAAATAAAACTCTTGCCCAGGACTGGTTTTGAACAAACAACAACTGACTCACTGTGCAAGCACTTCTATCACCTGAGCTAAACAAACACAGTGATAAAAGTTGTTATTTTTAAGAATTCAACTGTCCTCTACACAGGATTCCTAGTAACATTGTGTGATTTCTGGGGGCTTTTATTTTGAAAATCCAGCCTCTATTCAAGTTTCCTGGTAAGGGTCTCTAACTATCTGGAGGATTTTATTTTGAAAATCTAGTATCCTTTCGGGTTTCCTGGCAACTTCCTGTTAATATCTTGGGGATTTTATTTTGAAAATGCAGCCTCCTTTCGGGTTTCTAGTAACATCCTGTAACGATCTGGGGGCTTTTATATGGCTTTTATATTTACAATCCGGCCTCTATTAGAGAGACAGAGGACTCAGTATGTTTCTATTTAGCAGCAGCAGTAAAAAGTAAAATATAACTCCTGCCCTCACTTGTACTTGAACCCACAACCCTCCCGTGCAGCAGCTGTGGATTATTTAGCTAACTGCTCTAAACACCTTCCCATCCACTGAACATTTTGGCGATAATACCACTTAATCTCTATCTCTCTTCCTCTGCTTTCCTTCAACTTCACTGACTGAAACTACAGCAGTTATCGTTCTACAACTATATTACACATGTGAGTTGTTTCATTCAACAAAGGTAAGAGACTGTTTGACCAAAGATCAGATAAATGATGGGCAGATATGTGTCACAGAGTCATATTTTTTTTGCTTAATATTACTGCAACAACCCACTCGTGTAGATACATGCTGCACAACATCAGGAGAATATGCCCCCTTCTCACTCAGAAGGCAGCACAGGTTCTGGTCCAGGCTCTGGTAATCTCACGCATAGACTACTGCAACTCCCTCCTGGCTAGTCTACCCGCTAGTGCTAACTGACCACTGCAGCTCATTCAGAACGCAGCAGCTCGACTGGTCTTTAACTTACCTCAATTCGCCCCCACTCCTCCGCTTCCTCCACTGAATACCAGTGGCTGCCTGCATCCATTTCAACACACTAGTACTTGCGTACCATGCTGTGAAAGGATCGGGTCCAGTCTACATCTAGGAAATGGTCAAACCTTACACCCCAGCCTGTCCACTCCACTCTGCGTCTGCCAATCGCCTTACTGCACCCTCACTGCCAGCAAACCACCAAATAAAATTACGACTGTTTGCTGTCCTGGCTCCTGAATGGTGGAACGACTTCTCCACTGACACCAGGACAGCAGAAGGTCTACACATCTTCCGACGCAGACTAAAGACACATCTCCTCCGAATGCACTTTGGTGAAGAAGATGATAACTAATAACACCAATGCGAAATAAAAAAAAAAATAATAATAATTTGTTGCACTTATATGGCACTTAAATGTAGCACTTTGTAGTTTGGCTTACTTAAAAGTACAGTGTGTAGAATTTTGTGATATCTAGTGTTGAAATTGCATGTTGCAGCTTAATACCCAAAAGGGAACAGGAACCTGTGGTAGCATAAAAACTCAAAAGGTGTTTAGTTTGTACAGTCTGGACTAATGTAAAAAACATGGTGACCTTGCTAGAGAGGATCCCCTCAATGTAAATATAAAGTATTTAAATATAAAAGGCCTTTTCTGGGGAAAAAAAAACTACAATTTTGATGAAACAAACTAGTGAAAACATCATGAAGATTATTCTACATTAAATATCTGCCAATAGTTCCCTTTCACCTAAATCTTACACACTGGACCTTTAAGGCAAATTGTACTTACTTGATTCTTGTTGTTCTGGGTTTGTTCTCTCATGGTTGATGCACTTATTGTAAGTCGCTTTCGATAAAAGTGTCAGCTAAATGCAATGTAATCTTTAATATTGAATGACATGATTTTTTCTGTTACTGTATCTGTATCTTATATTACTGGCTCATTATACAAACATATTGTAATTCTGTGGCACACTTGTGTTTTACAACATTTTGATTCATACATGATTTTTGATTGCGTATAGGATATACATTTCTTGGCTTACTCTAAAAAATGATTATATCAATCCATGTTAATGTGTNTCATACATGATTTTTGATTGCGTATAGGATATACATTTCTTGGCTTACTCTAAAAAATGATTATATCAATCCATGTTAATGTGTACAAATAAAGTGTATTGTTGTCTTTTGGCCTCAGCTCCCTCCACAGTCCCCAGCAAAGTGGAAAGACTGTCACACTGTTTAACATGTTTTATTTTCTCCATAACAATGTCTACACTCCGTAACAATGTCTACCATATGTGTTTTTCAGCATGTAAATTGAATAGAAAGTAAGTAGACAAAGTAAATAGTATACTGGTTCTAATTGAACCATTGATCATTTCAGGAACCCACATCTTGAGACCTTCTCTGCCCCTCATACACCTGAGCCACCACACAATAAGATGCTGAACATATAATTTGTAACATTTCTACATTAATGTAGTGTTTAAATGACTACACCTACATATGTGTGTTGTTGATTTGTATATCTACATTATCTCAAAAGTTTTCAACAAATCTCCAAAACAGAGAAGTCAGAGATATCCAAAATTTTATTTGAGTAACGGGGCGCACCTGTTGCTATAACGTTTGAGTTTGATATGTGATAAAGGAAGTCGTTGAATGAGCTATACATAAAGATAAACACTTCTGATTGAGACACTAGATGTTGCTGTTTTACAACATAGACAAAAACACTACTTCCACCAAAAACTCGCTACTTCATAATGCCATCAAACTATTTCTTCTGTTTTCTGTGTTTTGATTCAAAGATCCCTAGCAGAGGAAGTTACATATTGTGCATTTAATTATTACCGGGCCCCAAAAGTGTCCTTTCTTATACAGGCTATAGTAAGGAGAATAGACCAGACCAGCCTGTAAGATGTTTTTATAACTTCTCGGAAGATGTTAATCTTCCCCCAAAATGTTTTCATTTATTATACAATCATCATGACTAAAGGACTACATGTCACCAATTATAGTTTTGTTTTTTGTCCTTATTCCCTCAGCTAATCCTTCTGCTGTTGTGCCCCGCAAGCTCAGACACCAGATCAGCTGAATATAACTCATATACAACAAAACATAGCAGTCAAACAGAACATGAATTCCCAGTCCGTTACACTATATTCATTGTTTAATGGAGCATATTCTGTATATAAATTGTGTTAAGTCCTGTTTGTAGTTTGACGCTTTTAAGTAAAAATCTTGTTTCACTTGATTTAATTTCTTCTACTTATTTTCAATATGAATAAAAGGCCAAATAGGATTTTAATTCATTCTTGAATGCAACAGTGTGACAGTTCTGATTCGCAATGCATTGCCTAGTGGTGTGGAATAATAATATGTATTAAGGTTTATGATGTACATTGCCTTTTCTCTAGTAGATGTACTGCACACATAATAACAAAAATATACACAGGCAATAACAATTTGTGTAATGCATTGCCTAGTAGTGTGTGCAAACACATTTTTAAATTTTTAGCAGTGATAGGATTAAAACCTTTAATTGGATTACATGATTCTCTATGTAAAGTGAAATTAAGAGGCCCTATATACAGCTCTTGCTCCTTCATTCTTACCCTTCTCTGCACTACAACCAGCATGTATTTCAGCCTTGATATTCTTCACCTCCGCTGCCGTCAGGTCTCCACCCTTAAGGACCACGACCTGCGGTAGCTCATCTTCTCGATCACTTCCACTGTCATCACCCAGTGCTGGCATTACGTCACGCTGAGAAGAGGAGATGGGAACATGGACAAATAGGTTTTTCATAAACAATTCATACCAATATCTTAGAAGAAAACTGAAATTTGTGAAGGTTCACGTTCATAAGAAGTTCAAGGTCTAGTATTACAAAGTTGCTGTTGGATAATAACCATGGTCCTGATATAATATTAATTCTACTTAATATTTTAGGAGGATTTAATACAGATGTTATTGAAAGTATTTGTAGATTGAACCAGAGATAATAAGTGAAAGTGAGGTCAGTACATTTCTAACCAGAATCGCCAAACGGTCCCATTAATCAAGGTGCAGATGTTTGTCGAATGACAAATGTGTGTTTTGTTTCAAACTTTTTTCAGCAATTTTCGTTTAGATCTCATGCACTACTAGAGGTTAACGTCTTCGGCAGCTAACTGCGTGCTGGAACAAACAGTCAGCCAAAGAAACCAAACCACCGCATACCTTTGTATCAACGGTCGGTCCGTCTTTGAATCCAACATTATTTTTAAACCTCTTCAGAAAGGAGGGTTCCGCTGGTTTCACCCACGACACGCCACTGACCTTACTTTTGTTCATTAGAAAACCGAGAACCAACGTACACAAATGCTGACAGCTGCTGTGTTCAAACAAAACGCTTTTGGACACTTCTCGATGCACTTTCTCTGCGCCGGTACTTACGGTCGCAGAATTATGACGTCAACGCCCGGTCGTGGAAAACCTCACAATATTTTTTATATGTTTATCATACATTTGGTGTCAATACTTTAGCCATTAAAACACATTGAATTCCCATGTTTAAATGTAGAAATACGCGTATTTACCGTAGTTGTACTGTGATGCGCTGCCTTGCTTCTATGACATATTTTATCACCACAACTCATGTAGGTCATAAAGTACTCCATCAGAAATATTAGGGACGTACACAATAAAAAATGACTCTACACGACTGAAAAGATTGTTCAAATTGGTCTGTGAAAATGTCGCCAAATATAAACCTGTCTGTATTTATCCTGACGTCATGCATATTTATGATATGAGTAAGGAGTAGGTGAATCGCCAGGGAGAGAGGGCTGACGTACTACTCGTGCTAAACTAGCAAGTCAAATTGTAAG